GAGGTCATCTAGTCCAACCCCCTGCTCAAAGCAGGACCATCCTCAACTAGATCATCCCAGCCAAAGCTTTGTCTATCTGGGTCTTAAAAGCCTCCAAGGATGTAGATTCTACAACCTCTCTGGGTAATCTATTTCAGTGGTTTACTACTCTCATAGTGATAAAATTCTTCCTAACATTGAACCTAAATTTCCCCCACTGAAACTTGAGCCCATTGCTCCTTGTTCTGTCGTCTGCCATCACTGAGAACAGTCCAGCGCCATCCTCTTCGGAACCCCCCTGCAGGGAGTTGAAGGCTGCTATTAAATCTCCAACCTAAATAAACCCAGTTCCCTCAGTCTCTCCTCAGACATCATGTACCCTATCCCCCTAACCACTTTTTGCCCTCTGCTGGACTGTGTCCAATTTGTCTGCATCCTTTCTGTAGTGAGGGACCCAAAACTAGACACAGTACTCCAGTTGTGGCCTCACCAGTGTGGAACACAGGGGAAGAATCACTTCTCTCGATATGCTGGCAACACTCTTAATAATGCTATTAGCCTTCTTTGTAACAAGGCTACACTGTTGGCTTACAATCAGTTTATTGTTCACTGTAACCCCCAGGTCCTTTTCTACAGAGCTGCTGCTTAGCCAGTTGGTCCCCAGTCTGTACTGGTGCATAAGACTGTTCTGTCCTAGGTGCAGGACTTTGCACTTATCCTTGCTGAACTTCATGAGATTTCTTTTGGTCCAATCCTACAATTTACTGAGGTCTCCCTGAATTCTAGCACGACCTTCCAGTGTATCTACTACTCCCCCCAGGTTGGTATAATCTGCAAACTTGCTGAGGGTGCACTCCATTCCATCTTCCAGGCATTGATTAAGTTATTGAACAAAACTGACACCTGGGGCAATAAAACCAGGACTGACCCCTTGGGCACTGTACTTGATATCTGCTACCAACTAGTCATTGAGCCATTGACTACTACCCTCTGAGCCTGATGATCCAGCCAGTTTTCTATATCCTTTGCAGTGGATTCATCAAGCCCATACTTCCGTAGTTTGCTTGTGAGAATGTTATGGGACACCATATCAAAAGCCTTGCTACAGTCAAGGTATACCACGTCCACTGCTATTCTCACATTCATCGAGCCATTCAACTCATGGTAGAAGGCAATCAGGTTGGTCAGGCATGACTTGCCCTTGGTGAATCCATGCTGATTGTTCCTGATCACTTTCTTCTCCACTGAGTGCTCCCTGAGGACCTGCTGCAGGATTCTGCCAGGAACAGAAGTGACCTGTCTGTAGTTCCCCAGATCCTCCTTCTTCCCTTTCTTCTCCTTTCTCCTCCTTTCTCCTCCTTTCTTCCCCTTATAGATGGGCACTATATTTTCCCTTTTCCAATCATCCAAGACATCTCCTGATCACCATGAGTTTTCAAAGATAAATGCAATCACATCGGCCAACTCCCTCAGCACCCTCAGTTGCCTCCCATCCAACCCCATGAACTTGTACACATCCAGCTTTTCTAAATAGTTTCTAACATTTTTTTTTTTTGCCACTGTAGGTTGCTCATCTATGGGGCAAGATGCTGCCTCCCATAAACTCTTTTTAAAAATTTTTTTTGGCTGTGACCCAACAAGCACTTAAATGTGGAATTAACTTAAGCACAAGTAGTCCCATTTATTTTAGTCACCCCATTCTCAAAAAGAATTTAAGCATGCATGTGTTTGCAGAATCAGGGCCATTGGTTTTAATGGGACTACTCATATGCTTAAAGTTATGCAGGTGCTTCATGGTTGTTGGATTGTGGCCTTAAATATTTGAAAATAACAAGCCATTGAAAGTGTTATTATGCAATATTATGCCCAAGTACAAACTCAATTACCTTTCATTTTAAAATCCCTGTTAATAACTTTTTAACTTCATGAAACCATAGTAAAACATACTAAAATATCATTGCTGTCACTTGTATGACAAAAAACTCACTCATTTCAAAATATACTGAAGTATCTTCATTGACTGCTACTGTGCAGGGAAAAGTAATCACCACTGTGTCAAATCCAGTTTCCACAACACTGTGGAATAATAGGTCTTTCCCACTTAATGTTTTCTTTTCTTTTTAAGATTTCAAAAAGCCAGGTTAGTTTTGGGAAGAATATTAGTCCTATGAAATCCCTGTGTATTTTACCACTGGGAACATCAGAATTATTGTTCTGGAAATTATGAGGCAACACATTTTTAAATTTTTCCAATAACTTTTGAGACAATATTCTAATTCATAATTCCCCGTTTTAGATATTTCCATCTGTTTTGACATAAATGTTTGGTTAATGCTGTATTCCTAAAGGGTTTCTACAATTCCTAGTGACTTTTATAAATGTATTCTGATTCCCCATTAAACACAAAAACTCAGCCATATGGTGTGAAAGTACTGTTCAGCTTGCCAGAAAAAAGCTTGTGTAGTACATGAATGCTTACATTATTTATAAATATTTATAAACAACTATAAAATTAGGATCCTAATTATACAAAGATATAACCTATTTTCTTACCGCTAGGTACACGGCTAATTCCTTTGAACGTCTATGCTGGAACTAGACCTTTTACTCAGCTTCATCCTTTTCCATGCAGCCAAACCCACCATGTGTGGGTTTTTCACAGGACAATCTTGGATATATTTTTAATAGGAAAATGTGACTGTAAGCACATAAAAATTGGCAAGAGGACTCAGGGGAAGGGGAAGTAACACTACTTTTAATATTTTTAATTGATTAAACTGATAGTGTTTAATTGTTAACAACCATATGGGCAGATGAACATTTCCAAATAGATCTTATAAATGTTTTCTAACAGGTGTTATTTATCATCATTGTAACACTAGCATTAATAGCACAACTAAAACCTACAGTAAAACAGTTTTGCATGTAAACTATATCCAAAAGAGAGGGGGACAAAACCTATCTTAAAGTACCATTAAGGCTAATATTTAAATTACACAAGAATTGGAGAATTCTTATATCTTATGCCTGAGTTACTCTTTTTATATCAACTTTCTCTGTGTCCCTGTGCACATAATATATTTATTTACATGAGTTAGACTGGAAACATGTGTTTCATTGTACTGAAAGCATCAAGGAAGGAACAAAATGTAATAGTGTAGACTAATTGTGCGTATGTTTCTTACCAAATGTTAAAGCATGCAAACTTCTTTTTGTTTACAGGTAATCTGTATATACTGAAAAAGACTTTTTGGAGTCTTATTGTCATGCTCTGCTTATTCATATGTATGATGGCACTCTGTTAATAAATGTATAGATTTTATAAAAGGAAATGGATGGGGAGGGGGAAAATAATTTATTTAGATAATTAGTCTGTTTTCCCCATAACGTTTGAGAAACTGCAAAGATTATAAATAAGCATACACTGTTTATAATGTTTATAAATCATAAACAGTCCAAGGGCAGAATTCAGGCCTTGCAGATGTATAAGCAACTCCCATCTAGGTGTATGTATCTGGTAGGGAGATTTAGATGTATGCATCTGACAGCATGGGTTGACTTGGGTTTAGTCAATAAACAATAAACTAGATTTATCTAAGGAGAAAAAGGATTTTTAACTTTCTGAAGGAAATTAATAAGTCAGTCTTGAGAAACAATTATAGGACTCTTTCTGCCCTCTAGAAAACTACAAGATGTTACTCAATGACAAGGCAGGTGTAAGCGGAGAGCAAAGCCTAATATGTAAAAAGTATGTCATTTTCCCATTCCTCCCTATACGTCTTTTCCATTCATCTGTTACCTCCTGCCATTAGATTGTGAAGTCTGGAGTGGGTTTCTTTTATCTATTTGATTGTTTTACGTTTGTTTACAACTTTCTGTACGACTGATCCAGCAAGTTTTTAAGACCAGTAGGTGCTACTCTCCTTATAGTATGTACCATATTTACTCATATGGTCCACACTCCTTTTCCCCAAAAATTAGTCTTCCAAGATTAAGTGCATGTCTTAATCAGGGAAACTGATTTTCTGCCCAAAATAGTAGCAGTGGCATGTCCATGCAGACAGCACTGAGGGAATCAACTGACTTTATTGCTCATTATAATCTACCTGGTTTCAGTTAACTGTTCTTCACTAGGCAGGTGTTAATGACCTTTTAATGGGCTTGATGTTCCGCTAATCAAATGATCCTTTCATCAGGATTCTGTTGAACAGTTTGCCGTTTATCTATTGCTAGTCTCTCTTCTCCTATTTTATAGCTTGCGGCCTGTTTTTTGCTCTTTCCAAAATCCTAAATTTGCCCATGGCATCCAGACCTCAGCAGCATCTAGAGTTTCAGCTTCTGGCAGAGCAGCTAAGAGCTGCTGACAGCTCAGTTCTGAAAAGGGTTAAAATTGTAGTTTTTTCCTAAACAGGAAAGGGAGGGTAAGTGAGCTGAAGATTAGGCTGTGTCCCTACTGTATGCAGCCATAACTGTGAAAGTATTAATATAGCAATGTATAGTACAATACAATAATAGCAATATGTATAACGTACACAAATAGCAACTGTCAAAAAAGCAATTCATTCAACTGATTCAACTGCCCGAACAGAAAACCTGCTGGTGCCGCCTGGTGGAGCAGAAATTAAAGCAGGGTGCTCCTATTCTAGGCAGAAAATCAGCTTCCCCACTTGAGACATGCAACCTAATTTTGGATGGGCTGGGGGTGGGGGGAAGCGGGGAAAAGTTTGTGTGGTGGGTGAGTAAACGCAGTAATATTTATGCTCATCGTTTCAATACATAGCAATGAAACTCGCTCTTGGCTTTCAAACAAGATGGGTCAATCGGGGGCATAAAAAATGGCACTTTGATCTCTGATACTCGGAGGCCAACGTGCCCTTTGAATGTTCAGATAAATCTTGGCTAAACGAAGCTCCGATGGTGCCAGTCACCTTGATGTGGCTTCCAGGAACAGGCAAGGCAGGCCGGGGCACCCCGGAACGCGCCCCGCCAGCCGGTGCTGCCTGTCACTCGGAAACACCCCTTGGTACAAGGATCGTGGCTCATTTGAGCTCCCAAGTGACCGCTTCCCCAGGTAATGATTGCGTCCCTTCTCTTTTATTATTATACAAAGAGCTCAAGGAAAGGACTGGAGAAGGGTAGCAGGGAGCTTTTAGCTGCACCAAGGGTGAAGACCCACTGAGGAAGTATGGGGGCCCCTAAAGACATAGCAACTAGTTTCTTGGGACGAATCCTAAGAAAATAAAGGAAGGGAGCAAAGTCACAGGCTCGTAACAAGGAGGCTACAAGGGCGCTCACTGCCCTGGGAGCTGGGGAGGAATCCCAGGCATTAGTCCCTTGCATGATGCACCCTGGACTTGTACACACCTGGCTTTTCTAAATAGTTTATAACATGTTTTCTTGCCACTGTAGGCTGCTCATCTATGGGGCAAGATGCTGCCTCCCATATACTCTCTTTTATTTTTTATTTTTTGACTGTGACCCAACCAGCCCCTTAAACGTGGAATTAACTAAAGCACATGCCAGGCCCATTCTGCACGTGGTGGGCGGGCTCTGCGTCTCCCGGGGCAACCCCAGCACGAGCAGTCACCCGGCACACTTGGCGCATGCGCAAGGGGAGGCGCAGCCGGGCGGGGAAGGACCGCCCCCGCGAGAGGGGCGGGGCCGGGCGCAGCACCCGAGGCCGGGCGGAAGAAGCCGAGACGCGTGCTCCTTCCGCCGGCTGCTTCCGCCCGGCTTGGCCGGCCGTTGGCGCCGGGGCCGCGCGTCATGTGTCCGCCCCCGGGCTGCCGCTCCGCCTCCTGCTCCCTGCCCCAGCGCCCCGCCCGGTCTGCTGCTCTGCTTCCTGCTCCCTGTCAGAGCTTTCTGCTCCTTAGCGCAGCTACGGCTCTGTTGTGTGATCCCTGCCCCGGGCGTCCTGCCTGATCTCCTGCTCTTACTACAGCTACTGCTTTGGTTTCTGCCCGGTCTGCCGCTCCGCTTCCTGCTCTCTGCCCCGATTCCCTAGTTGATCTGTGCCTTCTTTTCCCTGCCTGATGTGCTGCTCTGCTTTCCGCTCCCTGCCTGTTCGCCTTGCTGCTTCCTGCCCGTGTTCCCTACCAGAGCTACTGCTCTGCTTTCTGCTCCCTGCCCTGTGCTCTGAGATCCGCTGCTCTGCTTTCTGCTCCCTGCCTTGTGCACCTTGCCAGCACCTTGCTGCTGTGTCTTCTGCTTCCTGCCCCTCCTGCTGCCACACTGGCCAGGGGATGAAACTTGCCAAGGAGATTAAAATGATGGGGATGCTTTAAGGCACTGATTTGGTTTGCTCCTGGTAGGGTTCGTGTTAAACCCATCAAGCAATCGAATGAGGCAGCTCTTCATCCAGCAGCAAAAGTTAAGTCTCCCTTTGTAGAGCGAACACTTGATGTATTTCAGGCAACTGAGACGTTAATTGCCCCCCCCCTCGTGCAAGGGGGCTGTCCTGACTTCCAGTGGGGCTCTCAAGGAGGCCCAGAGCAGGGGCTGGGCTTAAATTAGCACCTTGTTCCTCTCCTACAGCTTCTAATTTCTGACAATGAAAAGTTCCTATGTGAGTTCAAATGCTACCTGAGGATGGCGGTAACTTTAATAATGAATTAGCATGGTTTTCTTCCGGAGCTTCGTTAGGATGGTAGGAGCTGTTCACAAGCTCATTCAACTCGATGAACTATAAAGATCTTTACGGTTGTGGGAATATAAAGTAAAGCCAGTCCAGTGACCAGACATTACACAGGATGAGCCCTGGTTACACACATTATTACCCAGCTAAAAACTTGTCAGCAATAGAGCTCATGGATCCTTTTTTCTCAGCCTTCTCCTAAGATGAATGATAACCTTCCATTTATGAGACTGTCTAGCAGGTTTCTTCCCGTTTGGTTTCATAAATATGGGTGTATCTTGATTCTGGAAGCATTCTGCATCGTTCTTGCCTGACCTGAGGGGCAGATTTGTAAGGTGTAGGCTAGCATGTTTGATTATCCATACTTTATAGGAGTTTACCATATCATGTGCATGGCTTTGGGACTGAAAAGAAAAAAAAAAAAAGTATTCAGTTGCCTGACCTGAATTTAATCAGTTGTGGTTCTGACAGCAGAGTTTTAATTTGAAGTTTGTATATTGCATGGGAATCATCAAAATGAAGTGTCAGCATAAAGAGTAATGATCTAAGTTAGTGCCTGGGTCCAGAGCAGAAGGAAGTAGAACAAATAGTCAAAGACAGGGAAAGCTGAAATGGAGAAGGGAAAGGAAGAAGGAAAGCATGGTGGTGCGGATGTGGGTCATATACTGCAGCACTTCTCAGTATTCATTGTCAGCAGGGGATTTTCCTGAGTTGGAAGCAAATGGTTTGGCTGCAGAAGAATAATTGCTGAAGAAAGGGAAGGTTGATGCATGAAACAAGAATAATGTTTAAGCAAAATGGTTGTTCTTTCTTTAGCATCTGCTGCTGCTGCTTCTCTTTGCAACCACCTCCCTCCTTTCTGTCACTTGTCTTTTGCGTTCTGATCTTCTCTGTATTCACTGATTGTTACTTCATTTGTATATCATCTCCTTAAAGCAGTAGTCTTTGCTAGAAACTTTCATTGTTAATCCAGCACAGAAAAAACATTACTAAAACACAGGTGCTGCTTGGAAATGTAACCATCATATCATGGTGATTGGGTCATTTAGACCTAGGATGAAAAGACTTTAGGTGTGTAAGCTGGGGACTGAGTTTGGATAGTCAGAGCCTTGCAAGGGACTTCCAGTGGGAGGAGAACCCAGTGTTTGTTGTCAAGATACTGATGCCTGAAAGTCTCTTCAGTGTGTCCCTGGCATAGAGGGAGCACGGGTCAGATTCTGTTCCACCGCATGTTGGGAGTGGAAGTGGATTCAGGTGCCTAAACATGATTCTGTTTCATCCTGTTTGAGTCCCTGAAAGTGAACAACCATTCATGTCATCATCTGACCCTTAAGATTGATCACAAAAAAGCAAGGAGGAGGAGGACCCACGGTAATAACAGCTTTTTCAGGTATTCAGGCAGGGTAGAATAGGATCAGATTTAGGTGCCTAAGGGCCTTGTTTCTTTCCTGGAGCTCTTAATACCTGGATTGTCTCTAGGTTAACACCCGAAACTAGTTTTAAGTACTTTTGAAGTGTGTCACAGAGTTGCACCATTCCAGGGCAGAATTGTTTCTGATGGGGCTTACTGCTCCCACACAATTCCCCTGCTGAGCCTGGCCCAAAGTGCGGCAGTGGTGGTGAGGGCAGCTGGGCAGGCAGGTTAAACCTTCCCTGCCTGCTCCCCTGGGATAGACCACGCAGGCAGCCACAAGTAAGTGGGGTTGGGAGGGAACGGAGGGAGCCCTAGAGAGCAGGGGCAGGGGGGAAGCCTAGAATGGGAGGGAGGGGACTTCTTAACTTTCAGCCCTCCTGGGCTCTGCTGTCATGAAGTCACTGCTTCAAACTCAGGCTAAATTCATAGATTGTTAGGGGCTAGAAGGGACCTCGCAGAGCATTGGGTCCAGCCCCCTCGCTAGCACTAACACTGATCAACATGTGTACAGCTCAGTGTAAAGTGTCACGAGGTCCTGAGTCTGGTTTGGTGGCTAATAGCTGGAACAGGTTCTGGCCCATGGTTCCTCAAATGCTGTTACGTGGGAGTGGAGAGGCTGTGCACCAAGATGTTTTAAAGGCTCCTCAGGGTTTTGGTCAACCCTTTTAGCACCGATGTCTTGAGAGAGAAACACGAAAAACTTCCTGCTCCTGTCTGCTTGCTCAGCTCCAGTCTCCCTTTGCACCTCTTTTGTGGATCATCAGTGTACAGACCGCTTCTTTGCCACTCTCGGTCTGGGCCACTTCCTTCAGTTCCTATCACATCCACCCCATTCCTATCGAGCACATCCCTCGCTGTTTTCATCATTACCTTATGATTTCTTGTATCGTAGTAATACATAGGAGCTCTCATCTCCAACCCATTGTGTTAACCACATTGCACCTTTACAGCTCCCACTTTCTCATCATGCCTGTTTCCCCTGATTTTTGTCACGGATTTTCCCTGCATTGTGTGCAGCGCTTCCAGCAGTGACGCTCAAGTATTCCCTTTTCCTCCCCATCCTCCCCTACCATGTTTAGCTTTCAATATTTGAATCGGTGGTTCTCAGGCTCCAAAAATGTCAGCTCAGACTCCAAAAGTGTCAGCTCTTAGCTTTCACTCCTTTCTTGTCTACAGAAAAATAATACAGCAGTTCTTGTGCTGCGAAGAACTCGGGCCACAGCAGCTTAGAGATGGTTTCTACACTATGGCTTCCTTTTTGAAATTCCTGGGTTTAATCTTGTGTAGGTGTTTTCACACCTAATATTGTGTGGCATTCTGAAAAAGATCTGATGGCACCCTGGCTGAGAATTGCTGATTTAAATTGAGCAATTCTGATTTATATGGAGGCTGGGAGGGAACTAGGATGGACTTGGTAAATGGAAGGAATGTGCTGGCTGGTGGTTTGGCGTCAAATGTGGCTACGTGGATCCTGGGTGGCAGAAGGGAGTTATTAAATTAGAGTGGGTGTGTTGTTGAAAGTGGGTTTCACATATTCCACAGACAAAATGAGTTGTATATAATTCATCATAATTTTCAGCTTATGCTTGTTCCTTTCTGACCTACTTTGTCTTGTTTTGATTGTAGCAAGGTGGTGTCAGTATTCGCCCTTTTGACCCAAATCATTATCCAAAATAATTTAGGATCCTTTAGAGGTTGTTCCAGGTGGAAAAAGAAACTGGGACTAGAAGTGGTTATTTCTTTGTTTCAGTCTTAAGTATTTACAAAACATGTAAAGAGCCTTTTTCCCCCTAATCACAGCA